AAGGCATCACCGACGACTTGAGTTCACCGATGGATCTGAACACCATCGGATTTCACCGACGGTCAAATTTAAAACGTACAACTTCTTTGATGGGCAAGGGTTTTAAGGGCACGTTGTTATATAAAACCACCAACAATTAATTGATATATTGTAGCTACAAATATTACACGTACAACTTAATTCTTTGATGGGCATTGCTTTTGGGGTGGTCTCTGCAATCATGATTGAATGAATTGAACAAAATGATGTGATGAAAATTTAATTAATGATGCTTTTGCTTTTTCATTATTTCAAATCAATCACAAAAAAAAAAAAAAATGTTTATTACCCACCCAAAATAGTCTTTTACTAATTACTATCCATACAATCATTACCATTTTGATTTTACGTTCAATCATAACAAAAAGTTCATTTTACATCATTCGACGACATCAATTATTTGTAACGTACATTTGGTAGCTTCAAAAAAGCAAGTCGACATGTTTTCACAAAAAGTAATAATTTACATGTATAGTATAGTATTAGTAGGTACGATAGCTTGCACATAATATGTGTAACAACTGCTTAAAATACAATTCAAATAGTGTTTCATATTGTGTGGTATGATTATATCATGTAGATTGAGCTAGAAAACAACAAAATACGCTGATGAGGGACGAACATACTGTGTGTAATGCTTCACAAGTTATAAGTGTTTCAGCCGAATTCGATTGAAGAAGATCTGAATCATGCTTTGGGCCGGTTGTGGGCGAGGAAGGATTCGAACCCCCGACAACTGATGATTTGCATTCGACTATATATAAACAAGATCCTCGACAAGAAAAAAGAATGTGTATATATTTTGTCCCACTAATGTCTATATGTTCTTGTATTCATCATGCAATCATTGAACATTCTCTATACCATCACTAATTATTACTTACCAACCATAACAACTTATTTTACTTCTAGAATTTTGACATGTTTTAGCTTCAACAACAATCTTCCCTCTGACTCCATCTTTCGCCCCCCACTTAGACTTCTAGAAGATTGTAAAAACCGACAACCTTAAACGGTTGATTCTAGTATTACAACATTGATTACATCTTAATTTTTTTTTTTATATTTTTTATTTTCTACCAAGTATTATTTCATCATGTCCCTATAATTATTAATTAAGTAGCATCACAAATGGAAGTTGTCTTTTAATTAATATTTGTTGTTTAAACATATGGTGATCAATGTCATGTACTTCTTTTTTTGTATTATCAGAAGGGGTAGGATAAATGCACTCCTACATGTTAATATCTTCGTCACACACATCAATGTCAAAGATTATGTTTTACATTTCCAACGGACTTTTAAAGTAAGGGTAAAATCCCGGAAGGAGGGAACTTTTCATATTTTGAGCATTAGTTCTTGAACGAATAAATGCATTCGTTTACTAAAATCGAATAAAATGGTCATTCTAACCTATAAAAATGACTAGAAATCATTATTAGTGATGACATGCTACAACTATTATTTAACTATAACATAACATGCACATACTTATGAACAATTTTGAAAATTGCATGAAAATTGATCATCTGATACTAATTATTGGCTAAAACCTTGTTGATCTAGACCACAAACAGCACATGGGTACAAGGTGTACAAAATTTGTTCTTGGTCTAATACGGTCGTGAAAGGCCAACAATGGAAACCACATGACAATGTTATACTTCCACTCTCTCATGCCATTTTGCGGGTATCATGGCACATGGACGTGGGATTGGCACACAACCATGTCGTTTTCAGGGAAAATCTCATGTACACGGTCGTGCAAAAGTATAAGTCAGTCCTTCTTGACTTGTATAAACTCAATCTTATTGACTTTTAAACCAAATTAAACAAATTTTATTACATAATAACCCCATTAGTATATATTTACAGTGTATTACTCTTTATACATAACTTTAATTGAAAATTTGTTACTAATATTATTTACAGTAAAAACCATATATATTTAAACCATAAAAAACTATAACAAAATCGATTTTTAATCAAAAAACTTTAATAGTTTGATCATTCAATTCCATATAATATTTTATAATGGGTCGAAAACCATTGTAATTAATTAATGATCACCTAACATTTGTGGTGGTTTGTTGACGGATACAAACGTCACGACCATGATATATTCTTTTTATTTTCAATATTTTAATTCCCATTTCAATTATTTCCTAAAAAGAATATTGTAGATTAAGACCAATTGCATTTTATAATTTACTTTTCAACAATAATTCTTTCCACGAGCATGCAATGATTTTTATATTTTTTTTCCTTTTGAAATGCATATTTTTTTCTGGTCAAATAAAATTTCTGTTTTTTAAATAAAAAGATTATTATAAGATCTTAATTATATCAATTTAATCGTTATCACCGAATCTTAATTGGTACTCAATCATATAAATTTTGCAATATAATTGAATTTCAATAATATTTCTATATTTGTGATAAAAGTTAATATGTATGGAAGAATAAATTTTTAATGATATAGTGACAAAAAATATTGTATTTTTTTGGGACATTAAACAATATATATATACTTTGAGGTCCAAACCTCAAATAATAAATTATATAAATAATAAAATTACAGTTAGATTGCAGTAGTTTATACGTATTCGACTAATTTAATGAGGACTTTATGCTAACAGTTAGAAAGCCTCCGATGACTTTATGTTAACAGTTAGACTACACCATTATTCTTTCTTTGTCCAAATTGTAACTACTAATTGTCAGTCGCTATCACTTATTTCTTTTGTGATGATTTAGATACATCTTAAGTCGCTATCGCTTATTTCTTTTGTGATGATTTAGATACATCTTAAATATATTCTCCACAATCAAACTTTTTATTGTTGCCTAAAATTTGAAACCCCTTTTCAACGTTAAACTGTTTGTGGTATTTTTACACCATTATTTTACATTTACTTGATGTTATTCTAGTTATAGGTTAATAAACAGTTGCATGGGAATGCAGTTTGTGGTCTTTTCTTACACTCTCACACATTTTTCATAACAAGTGTCTTTGCGAAACAATCACTCTATTCTTCAAAGTAAAAATCAGATGTATGTAATTACCCTCTTCAGACCCCACCTTCGAATGAGATACATATATCAGTCTCGTTCGAATTGGGTTGATTTTAACTAGTGAAATGGAAAGTATTGATAAAATAGAATAGAATAGAGTGGTGGTTTTACAAATGTTGCAAGCATCCAATCAAAGGATGGTTATGGTAGGGACATTTGGGCCAAGGGTCTAGTCAAGTTACCTCTTTATGGGCCTACAGAAGTTGTTATCGTTTCAACTTTTAGCCCAAAAAGCACCCTGTCCCTCTATTCCTATACCTACACACTTATTTATATTTGCCTTATTTATCTCTCTCTTTCTTTCACCTTTTCTTCTCTATTATCACTTTTCTTTTCTATTTTTATGTTATAATTTGTTGTTAACTTCTTGCTTTTATTATCTAAAACGAGTGTTCAAAATCGACATATCCATTAAGTCTCTATTTCAAATAAATGTTAGATTATTAAGAGCATTTTCGATGGAGTCACTTATAAGAACCCTTTTTTTACAATTTTTTTGATCAAATGGTTGTCGACTCAACAAATTAAGAACCTCTTTTTGTAGGTCCCTTGTATTATTTCAACATCAATGATATGGATATAAAAATCAAAATATATATATAAAAAGAACTAATAAAATGTCATTTCACACAAAATTAAAGATAAAAACCAAGGTTTTTATACAAGAATTCCAAAAAAATGGGTGACTTATAAAATGTTTCTTCAATTATAGTTACTATAAGTTATTACAATTTTTGTTTATAAGAACTTTCTATCGAAAATGCTCTAATTAAGGAATGAAAAGTTAAATAAACCTTAAAAAAAGTAGATGAAAGAACACTTTGTGATTCATTGGGTTAGTAGCTTCTTCAACACTAAATGCTAGAAATGAGGAAAACCTTTCTTTCTTTTTGTAGGACTCTTCTAGGTTACATGTACTTTTTATGTGCTACTACACATGGCTATGCCTACATGTATTTTATATATATATATATATATATATAAATATAATAAGATACATCAAAGTCCTACAATTCTACAAAGAACACTGCATCATTCTAGACTATTTTAAGTCTATTCCTTAATTTAAACCCATATTAGATATATGCATGATACCTAAAGGTATTGTTTTATAAGGAACTGTGAGAAGATAATAACTTAACGTTTATGTTTGACATGCCATTAGATGGAATATGAGATGATATGAGTGGATAAAAATGCATTTTTTTTCGTTCACCAAAATGGGTGGAATAAAAATCAGAGAACTAGGACAAAATTGGTAAATTTCTAAATTAATCATGTCAAATTAAAACCCTAAAATCTTGCAAAATTCTTCCATCCCCTTACTTGACTCTCACACGTCCAAACCAATGCTATCCACGTACCAGTCGCACCTTTATGGAACTAGCAATTGAGTCCGTCATAATTACCAAATTTACTGTTAATACACTCCATTTTTTTTTTTTACTTTTTCTTGATTAAAGTAAAATATGATTATGAAAGCACAAAAAGTACATTAACTAGTTTTTTTAGGAAAAAGAAATTATGATAAGTTTGATAGTAAATTTAATGATATAACTATAAATATACTCCATGTACCAAATATAGGGTAAGTGGTTACTACAAAAAAATTGCAGCAAAATACCAAATATATACAATGAACATATAATTTTTTCAAACCTTTAGCTAAATGGTTGAATTTGAGGATTACTAACAAATGGTCAAACTTCTACATCCCAAATCCAATAGAGACCGTTGGCCTAAAGTCTTGGATTGCAAAAAAAAAGGCCCAAGATAGTTGCACTAACACATTTTTCCATGTAAATTGGAATCGTGGTTTTCTTTTAGGCCTTGTCTTAACTCTTAATCCCACATTTCAGAAACGAATAGAAGACGAAATGAAATCATGAGATAAGCTTTTCAGCTTCCGTTTAGGTGGTAAGCTTTTCAATTTTGAACACATTTTTACCTTCCATTTTACAAAATAGGTGTTCGTACCCGTTAAGGAAAGTAAAATTTACAAAAAAATGGACCCTTTTTATCATCGTTACAAAGTAATATGTGGTCTTTGAAATAATAGCAGAACATGTACACACAAAGATGCCTTTTTTTTAAATGTAGAAGTCGCTTTGTTTAGATTGTGCCTTGAGGTCCTTCAACTTTTTCAATATGTTTGAGAAGTAATCCTGCAAATACTTCTCCAATGTAATGATATCTTTTTGATCTACACCAAGAAGTTGATATGTCTCGTTCATTGGTACTGAGAATACGGTATCGCTTGTGAGAATCTACAACAAAACATTGTTAATTACAACAAACATGAGATAATCTCGAGGATAAAATGACGTAAATAAAGAAAAGTCGAAGCTCTCTATGACAGAACACTTGAGCTACCAACGATAAACCCCATCCTCTCTCCATTTGGTTGCAAAAAGTTTAACTTGATGCATACTCAAGAAGCCGTTGTTATACGCTTCATTACATCACATAGTTACCGAGAATGGTAGTGTTCAGGTATTACTCCAAAGTAAAATTTTCTAGTTTATACCCACCATAAGATTACGTGGAATCTGACTTAGATTACTCAATATAGAGTCCTTGATGAAGGAACAGAGATTCCAACATATATCTAGCCGATGTGAAACTCTAACACGCCCCCTCTAACAGAGACTACATGGTCACAGATTGTCCCAGAGTGTCGAGAAGGGGCTAGACAGGTGAAGGGTCTAGACGATTACAAATAGCCCCATAGTGTCAAGTCCTAAAGTGGTAAACCTTACATTTTATACCATGTGAGAACATGTGGAACCCGTCAGATTACTCTTTTGTGAGGCTAACTGACATGCACTCTATGAATCTTAATTATCCTCTCAAAAGTCAAAGTCATACAGAGCTAAATGAAAATATTGAAATGAAAAAGGCCTTAATGGGTCGTCTACTATTTATAAATTCTCCTCTCAAAAGAAGTGCATTGATTGTTCAACCTATAGCTACTCCAAATTGCTTTGTGCATAGGAGAGATATTAATCGTGTATTATTTACAATTGTTGGTCAATTTTGGGTAGAAATATCAGTGTGCCAACTGCCATCACACAAATGCAATGGAAGCAAATATCTCATCTATAAGAGGGAGGATTATGTTTGCAGGACTAACTGCATCCATAAACATCGTGAAATCTGATACCATATGTAATCACAAGAAAGTGACCAACAATATATAACATACATGTAACGCCAACATGAAAATAGGCATTGGGGAGAGGTATGTCCCCCAGAACTCAAAATAAAGTTAAAAAAAAAAAAACTAGCCTTTTACCTACAATCTGGCAGGTTAACTAACCTCTGAAAATGCCAATCTGTCTGCAACATCATTTGTCCACTCAAAACAACGAGTTAGCTGCCGAGTGAATTTCAGAACTGAGACTGGAACTGTAGTCACACTTGCATCTTGTCCAGCTAGCCTCTCGCACAATGTTATAACCTGGTGACAAAAAAAATTCATCAGCACAGAAATTACTAAATGACTGCAAACTGGAAGAAAAAAAAGTTTCATAAACGTGATCTGGTTAATGAATGAAACCCAACTGAACCCTTGAAATAAAAAGCAAGAAGTTCTTTACCTCTTGGGTTGTCCATGCACGAGGCCCAGCAAATGTAAGAAGTTTCCCATCAACTTTTTCACTTCGTATAGCAATAAATGTTAAACGAGCTATATCCTGGAAGAGGGCACCAATTGGTTTTAAATCTATTGCTCTGCAAGTGGCTTAAATAAGATTAAAAACACTTGAAATTACCTGAGTGTCCATATAAGCTATTCGTGTTGGGGCATCCGTTCCCCATACAGATTTTTCTTCTAATATCGGCACAGCATACTGCCCAATGAGCCCCTGAAAGAATCAAAAAACAGTGTATCACCTACTCTTCCATGTTTTGGAGACAGTCAACAAAAGAGGTCGTATAACAGAACATATTTCAGGTTTGCCACCAATGATATAATATCTGGCGATCGTGCTTAAAAATCGAAATTATTGGAGGAAGTTTGAAGACACTTCCAAGGAAAATTTTGTTCAATGTCAGTCTGAAGTGTAAACTTTTGTATAATGAATGTAAGAAAATATACAGTCCATCATGCGCAACTCCACCTATTCTATCATGAGAACTGCTTGTGCACCTGCTGTGTTCACTTGTCTCTCAACTTCTAGATGTTTCATATTCCATGAGACTATAAGTATGGATTCAAACATGCCCAAGAATAATCAGCAAAAGCACACAAGGATCTGTCTGGAAATGAACACTAACCTACAAGTACAATACTTACTAGCTAGCCTCTATTTCTCAAAATGTTTAAGATTGTTTCGAGCTGAACCAAGTACAATGCATATATAATGTTTGTTTTGGAACAACATCAATGTCAGACTATTTTATGATCTGATGACAATGTGTTGCCTTCTCGGGCCAGTAGGCAAATAACTATTTTAAAGATGTCCATTTGAAAGCCATGACGACCCATTAATTTATTATGCAAACTTGACCTCCGTACCTGGAGCTAAGGAATGAAAAAGTATAGTTGTGAAAGTTATAAGATCATTGGAAGCATGCCTATTACTTCAATCTACTTGAGCAGTATACCTGCATGAAACCACATAACCGGATGACAACATGGTTTATGCCAGAGTCCTTAAGGAACTTCTCAGTACAGTACTTGATCTCCATCAATGGAACTTCTGGATGCTTGTCACAGTTGTGAATCGAAAAGAATACATACTTTTGGATTCCCATTGCCTTTGCACACTGTATTAGAGCAACCTTTCCTTCCCAATCTACCTAAAATGAAAAAGTAAAGTAAATAGACCTGACATGACATACATGTAAAATGTACATGAACATCAGATATTAGTAACGCTTTAAAATGTACACTATAATCAGGAAACAAATAGGACTGCAAGGCATGATGCTTACGGTTTTTATTGGCTCCTCTGGACGCCCTGTGGCACAATCGATGATTGTATGGACACCAACCAGTGTTGCTGGTATGGTTTCAGGTTTGCTCAAGTCTCCCTGCACATAAACTTCACAGCTAATACTTGCACATAGAAGGTTATACATATACAGATCAGTAAAGTATCAAATAAGTATTTTTCAAGTGGGTACAGGTAAAACTAATTAAGGCAACTAAAATAAAGATGCTAGTAGAAACTTACATTGACGACAGTTGCACCCCAGTCACGAAGAAAATCAGCAGGGGCAGGTCTAGGTCTGACAAGGCATCGCACATCATATCCCTCATCTAGTGCCCTCCTCACCACCTGCCTTCCTAAAGTTCCGGTAGCTCCAATAACCATTATGCTGGTTGGTCTCACTGGGGTTCCTGGTGCCAAATTAGCTGCTGCTACAGGTGCTGTCCCAGCGGCACATGTTATCAGTGGCTTCACAGACCCTCCAACCCCTAAAGTCACAGAAAAAACAGTTCTTAGTTCCAAACTTCCAATCCTGAACTTCCAAATCAGTAAATTCAAAATGGTAGGGTGTGGGAGCATAACACTCAAGGGTTTACAGTTGGAATTAGAGCATGGTTAGTTGAACTTTTGAAACGGATTTGCTTGAACTCCAGTCCATATACGGCAAGCCATGAATCATAGTTCCAACAAGTTTGAAGGGTACAGGTTCCATTCGAATATATAAATCTTGAAACATCATACTCATGGCAATACTAGAATAGGGATTCATGACAGACACATATTAATACAACTGCACTTGCAAGTCCACATTTTTATATACTTGCACATATACATACATAGATACATCAACCTCATTCCAAATTAGAGAGGCATTTTTACTTTTAGAGTAAGTTGAACCTCTATCCAGAAGTGGTGAAATCCATTTATCCTCTAAAACCATACAAATGTGCATGTTCTTAGATTCTATAGAATGTGTTTAACCATAAAAAGCCAAAATACATTTATACTCTGGAATCGCCCAGTCTAGGATAAAGTTATATATTTTGTACTTACACAGCCTCGAACCTAATACTTGTCAAATTAAATTCTATGGAGTTTCTTCTACAGACTTTAGAACATTTCTTTTCCAATTCAAAGCATTATTTTGAAAGTGTAACGTAGTCATCAAGTCAATGTAAAAGGCATATGTAAAAATACAGACACACGCATACATTTGCACATTATGTACATGTAGGCATACAAGGAAATTATACATGTATGTGAATAATGAAGTCACATTTAAAGTTAAAAATTTGAACCACAATTGTGGTGCCTGATTGGTTTGAGCTTGACTCCAAAGATCAAAAGTACAGGAGGTCTAAGGTTCAAATCCAAGGAGGACCACGGAAGTTCAAATGCGGTGACTTTGAGCTGGGCTATCTGCAAAACAGGTGGTTGTCCTGGCGGCTTGCATAGCAGGTTGGATATCCAGGTTAATAAAAAAAATTGACCGACAGAACCGTATGCAGAGTAAAATTGCTACAAACTATTAAGTATTAACAATTCAACTTGCTATTTACACTGAAACTACCAGCACAATAATAAACATTATATCCTACAATGTTATGACAAAATAGAAACCAATCAGAATTCATGAACACAATTCAACAAAGCAACCGGTAGAGACGAACAGTAAACCAAATAATATCAGAAAATGAGAAATTGCGCTCGATTATTGCACTAACAATTAAGTAATAAACGAATCAGCACCGTTAAATACACATACTACCTCTAAGAGAAGAATGAGAGACGGCAGAAAGAAGGCGGTCGGGAGCGAAGGCGCGGCTCCATGTCAGCGAATTGCCGGTGATCGGACGAAGAGAGGAACTACTCCGAGTGACTGCCGGCGACTGTGTGGTAGATAACCGTGAATGAAGTGTGGTGGAAGCCATAACTACGTGTGTGAGTGTGCGCGTGCGTGTGAGAAAATCTAGAGAGAGGAGGAGGAGGAAGAAGGTGGAATGGAGGAGGGA